AGCACATTTCACATGTAAAAGCTGAACCTCAGTGCGATCAAAAATTATGCGTTGGCTTAGTTAACACTCCTTCCATATCGATCTGACGCTACTACATCTGTGTTTTCGCTTCAGGAGCAATATCGTTTTATCTACGACGTCCTTAGAGACGCATCCATCTGTGGTGTTACTACAATCACATCAAGTGAATTTGGAAGCGATCTTCTTTGCGTCTCGGGAGATGAACCTGAGGTAGTCGAGCAAAGAACTCTTGAGTTTGAGGTAAGACCTCTTTTTAGAATAATCGTAACCCTTTAACTCCCAGACCAAATTTGTAATTCTCCTTACTGTCAACCGTATGATTTCTATGATGTTAGTTCAGAGAATTTAGTATTGGATCAACTAATTATCCCCAAACTGATATTTTTCTTTATCCTCATCAATTGTATGGTTGCTATGGTATTGATATTTTAAAGAGAAATTCTGCCATTGTCACTCATGGGAATTAAAGGGTTAACCTGTTCCTTCCCTGAAGTGACCAGTAAGTAATTTCTCTTTTCAGTATCAATATATTGCCGAGCAGATAGGCAATAAGAAGAAAGGGGAAAGGAGAAAGGAGAAAGGAGAAAGTATCAGCTGTGGGATATTTTTGCATAGACCACCAAATTCTTTCCGCCTAAAATACGTAACCCTTTAACCCCTAAGAGTTCCAATTTTCCCTTACGTTATCAGACTTGAATCAAATGTTAAGGTCATGAGAATAAAGAGAATGATCACCGATCTTGATTTGAAAACGATTTCTCCTTTTCAATACTACAAGAAAAGTAATACTGGTGTCAGGGTGTTATCAAAGGATTGAAACTGTGTGGCAGACAGATTGTGTATCTAGGGTGTGGAATCAAGTAGTGTGTAGTTTCGTTGTTTCCTGGTTTGCAAACAAGTGCCAACATTCTCTTGTGTTTTTTACGAACAGAACCTTCAAGACTATTCCGCTCACGAAACGCTGTTTAGAGAAGCACTATTTCGAGAAAACGCATTGAAAAACCGTTCGCCAGAGATGTTACCATGTAAGAAAGTTTGTTTCACCTTCCGCTCAGCTTCGGCTCATGAAATTGTAGTCTTTGTCTCGTGTATTTGTGTTCACTTTTGAAAGTGTGAAACACTGATAGAACATTTTTTTACACCAATTTTTTTTTTTTTTGCTCTTTTTGTTTCCTAGTTAACCACAACAGAGTTTACCTAAAGCCTTTTCCAGACGACCCTTGTTCCGACTACATCAACGCCAGCTTGATTGATGTAAGAAGTTCCTATGCGCTATTTACTCCGCAATTAGTTAAAGTGAAAAAGAAATGTGCATTCTTTGTTCAAGTTAATAGTTTTGAATCAGAGAACAATAAGGCCTTGTACTTTCATGTGTAACAGACAAATGTTGGATCAGAGAAAATATTGATGATTAAGAAAAGGGAATGTAGAGTTTAGAACCATGATTATGCATCTTATAATCTTTCCTTAAAAGGTTGGGCTTTACTTTTAATCATCAGAGCTATAACGAAGGCGCCGCATACATCGCCACTCAAGGGCCCATGCCGAGCACAGTCAATGACTTTTGGCGTATGCTGTGGGAACAGCGGTCAACCGTAGTGGTCATGCTCACTGATCTCCGTGAAAATGGAGTGGTAAGACACGTGTAATACAGTTCTTGCGAGCATCATTTGAGCGGATATTGACGTAAATTTCAGTTAGAAGTTATTCACTGTCTTTCCTTCTTTTTTGTTGTCCTCGTCTATTTATTTGTTTACTTATTTATTTTTGGCGGATTGCAGTGAAGCTCTCGGCTTGCCTTAGTGCGCTTCCTCTATGGATACCAGACCTACTATTTTTCTCCTGTTGTTTTAAAGTCTCTCTTTCCTTGCTTCTTTCCTAGGAACAATGTTATCGCTACTGGCCCGAAGAAGAAGAAGGTTGTGCCAAATATGGAAAAATTCGGGTGACGAAGATTGACGAGGAGGTTCTCGAGGACCACACCCAAAGAGTCTTTAAAGTGCGGCGTCATGGGGTGAGTTTAATTGTGGAACTACTTGATAAGTTCACATTTTCGGGAGCAGGAATGGATTTCAAAATCTTTTTAAGGGATTTCCTTTCCTTCAACTCATATGCTATCTTTTTGTTATGAATCTTCCCTTTTGGATTGTTTCCTTGCTATTCACAGGGCGACGAAAGTCTCGTGGTGTATCATTTTCAATGCCACGGTTGGAAGGAGAATGGGTTGCCTCGGGCCGAGAGCCTCGTATACCTACAGCACCAGGTTCACAAGGTGGAGCCTGGGGAGTATCACAACGGACCAATCATTGTTCACTGCAGGTAACGCACGTGCAAACCCTCGAGTAATCTATGCAGTGTTGAGATACATTTAACATGCGTGCTACTAACTTGAAATAGTGGATGATATTGTTTGAATTTGCTGCTGTTAATTGGTTTCTGGTGGACTGACTGTCTTAAGAACTGTCTAACTGACTTACTCACTGGCTCTCTGACTGCCTCATTCATTGGCTGAACACTTAGTCCACCATTTGATAAAGTGATTGATTGAGCTATCAGCACAATAAATGACTGACACATTTTCACATTCAGTTTTTTTTAAAATTAAATCCTGTTAACTTTATTGCTGTTACCCCGTCCTTGTAGCAATGGTGATGGTCGCACAGGAGTATTTCTCAGCCTGTGTTTGAGTATCGACAGACTGGAAACTGATGATAACGTGGACATATTTAACACTGTCCGATGGCTTAGATCACAGAGAGCGGGACTGGTATCTAGCTTGGTAGGTACACAGCGATTTACAAAGGAGTTACACCTTTTCCTTACGGTCTGGTCTATATTGCTTTCTAAATAAGCCTTAAATACTTTGTAAGATAACTTGGTCAATTTTCCTTACCTGTGTTTAGGATCAGTACAACTTCTGTTATGAGCTGATGAAGAGTTACATGGCCTGGAGAATTAGAGCGACCATCAAGAATGATTATGTCTGAGGACCATCTTTCTCTGAAAGAGGTAATCTTCTATGGATGTGGCTCAGCTGTGTCGCTGTGGCACAGATCTTGGATCATTCGCAGGACATACATATAAATAGACTCTGAAATAACCAAATAGTTAGAAAGCCAAACGTGAATTAGCATCGTCATTATTTCTGTGTTGCGCACAGTTTTGTCAGTTTATAATCTTATTGCTTTCTGTTAGTTTGTGCACATGTTAGCGAGACGTCACGCACGCACGCATACGCGAGTAAGGGAAAGCACTACTACCCGCGTGTCTGTTTTCACACGTTTCTTACTCGCGTTCTCGCTAAAAGCCTGTCCTGTAAGCTAGTCATTGTCCACAAAAAATAAGAGAGTTCGAAACTTTTTCTGGTTAATCCTCTAGAGAACTTACTTAAGCTATTGCAGCCATGTTAATATTTCAGCCGAGCGCAAATTTATCGAGTGTCCTAAAGCCAAAACAAGAGTAATCACGGCCGCCAATAAGAGTAGAGAATATCGTAAGGAACCAATGAGAACTCAGTGTAGAACAAGCTAACTGCCTGAAGCGTGGGAAAACGCGGGTGAGCCGTTGTATACAAACTGTAACTTTCTTACCGTGACAGCAACGTTTTGCGCTTGGTCATGTCACGCAATGTACTCCTATCCGTTAAAAATAAGGTTTTCAAGTCTTAAGTTTTTGCCTTCAAAGGACTGATAAGATAGCCCCATTATAAAACAAACTATTAGAGAAAAAATCTTAGGTGTTAAATGCTTCATATCATATATGTAAACTTAAGTTTTTTGCTTCCGAACAGTAACATGACTTGTATTGTCCCGTTGAAAGGGGTCATTTTGTTTCGTTTGCGTTCAAGTTGTACAAGATAAAAGCTATTTTGGGTTTTACCTTTTATGCCATTATTATATTACTCACGCTAAGATACATTTTAAAAATAAACTTTAAAGTTACCATACAATAGACATTCATTTTCGCAAAATAAAATAAGGAACTCATGTTTGTTTACTTGGCTTTATAACTTAAATATAACGTTGAAATGATTTTTTTAGTCGGCACTATAAGCAAAACTTGTCCTGGCTATTTCTGAGGAGTTCATGCCATCAAACTGTTACAAAATCAGTAAGAATTCATGACAAGTATTTCTAGGTGCGTTGTTTAGCTAATGGAACCATAAGGTGACAATTTTGGATGGAAGGGTGGGGAGGGGGGGTTTGGTGATTTAGTATGCAAATTGCAAATATACTTGCAAGATACTTAAAAAAAACTCTCTCCTAAGAGAGATTCGGATGGTCTTCCCCTTGACTTTTTCAGTACAATTTCCTTGATGGAGAAAAAGAAACCATCATCGGTTTTAGCCATTCCAAAAAATGTAAATGCTTTCACTCCTGAGAATATGTCTTTTCTAGAAAATGAGTCACAATTGATCCGGTCGCTAAAGCTGGATAATTTTTTCCTAAAGGTTAACACGTTTAACAGGCATGGTTTCCATGTGATAATCCGTCAATGGAGAGATACTACTTCTTGGGGATGAGAATTTCAGTGCTAGAATTTGATTTTCATTTGTGTCTTTCCAAGACATTCCTGCATCTCATTCTGTAAGTTTTTTTCGTGGACTCATAATAAAACGAAATGTTGTGTCCTTGAAGATATCAAATATAATCATACCACTTTGCCCAAGGTTAATTTTAAAAATGTGCGCTCATGTGACTGAACATTATTGAACCTCGTGTGTTTCTTGTCCAGAAGAATCGTGACGGAAGAATTCGAACTCTGGACCAGTATACTGAGTGAATTGCTAAATTAACCTATTTATTACACACTATTCTCTTTTTCTCCTTTACTTGATAAGCGTTCTTGAATTAAATATACCTCGTACATGCCAAACTGTAATCCGCCATATTGTCACGCAAACACGAGAAAACATTTGCTTGACTTACGTGACAAAGTAGAATCGGCCCAGATCCCTCAGTAAGCGCGGTTGGACCCACTCATCCAAAATGGCGGGTCAGGTTCGAGTGCTTCAACTCGAAGCTGGTCAAGAGTTGGAAACAAAACTATTTAGAATCGAGAAAGGTGAGTTTCTGGTGCTTTACAAATCACTTATGCCGGGGAGCGTTCAAAAACTGTTCGAAAATTTGTATCTATGTTTCAGAGTGGGGTGACAGCAAGTTTACGTAGGCGCAAAACTTACATTTCTAACCAGCTGATCTCTCAGTTTCTGATGTTTCCTTAGAAAAACTGGGCCAAAAAACTTTATTTGCACAAGTTGTAGCATGTTCATGTTATATTTTCGCAATCGCAATTTTTTGCTCTTTATAAAGGGCGAAAATTTGAAAATTTATTATTGTGATCGAAGTTCCCGGTGAAATTTCCACATCAAGGGTTATGTTACACCCTGATAAGCAAACACACAAGAGAAAAATTGGGACGAATGCAGGCAGATTTGCCTCTTATCTTGTCTTTTATACAATTTGATTTAAGAAAGCTCTTGAAAGGATTGATTTTCACGATTTAGATTGGATGGTCTCAGACAAACATAGGATATAAACATATTTATCGGCTTTTAAATTATGTACGTTTATTAAAAGGCCTGATATTGGTTGCCTTTTCCAATGCTTCCAATTTATTCAATTTTGCACCGCATGTTTTATGCAATAGGAAGCTTCTATGGATTTTTTGTGTTTTATTTTATGACTGAAGTAAGTAAATTTACTCCAACTGATTTTTATATCATTTGTGTTCAATTTACCGGTAAGTAAACTTTTTGCTATTAACCAGTGAATGTGCAAGCAGAATTGTAAACACCTCACCAGATGCGTGACACGAATGATATTGATTTGGGTCAATACAAGGTCCAATTGATTTTATCACGTACAACTGTGCCAAATATGTATCCAAAGCTGTGAATGAATAAATCTAACTAGTTTAGCAGGCAGGATCAGAGCTTTCTTTCAAAATCAAGAAATATTCAACTGCATTCTTAATTGAACTTGCAAGGAATTAATGTGACTTTCATCATCAGTTTACCTGTTTACAGGAAATTTGACTCAAACAAAATCTAATAATCATGGACAGTTGAAAAAAAAGGGGTTCTTTGGCAACTGTTGGTCTCATGGCCACCAATTTGCAAATGCATTGCTGGAGTAGGAGAAACATTACAGTAGTTTGAAAGTTAATATAAACCATCAGCACTATTAGCCTGATATTTTGCATGATCACATACTTTAAATCACTTTTTTCTTTCTGGGAAAACAATCTTTTTTTAAAGTGGCTAAATCACTGTGTTTATGAAAAGTAACTCATTTAGCAAACTGCCAACTTGGTAGGATTATTTTTTCAATTTTTTTATCTGTACAATTGTGTATTTTAGCAGCTTTGTAATGTTCAATAGCTAAGTTCTTAACCCTTTACACCCTAACATCAGTATGTATATTTGTCATACTGTTCTCCATGTCATTTCTGAGGTGCTGACAAGGAGAATTTGCTTCATAATCAGGAGCATCTGTAGTTGTTGATCATTTCCATTAATCTCATGACCTTTATGTTTGAATTAGGTGTGATACTGTAAGGAGAAATGAGATGCTTGTTTCTCTTAGGGGTTAAAAGGCTAACTGTTTCTTTTTCTTGTAAGGATGGACTTTACGCTTCACCTTGGGTCCTTCACTGCAACCTTACAATGTTCACTTACTTTGCAACCACCCGCCATCTGATCAGCAGTCATTTGATAGAAAAAAGTACACAGAGTTGGCATGGACATGCCCACCTGGACAGGAATGTGATGATGCTGATAGATTTGCAGATATTATAGCACATACTGCAGGATCATTTCATTTCTATGTCACTTACCAAAATGGTGAAAACAAAGGAAAAGAGTAAGAAAGCTTGTCTTGCCTTAATCCTTTCACTCCCAAGATCTCATTAGCAATTCTTTTTACTGTCTGCTATTCTTATTTTGTTAGTTTGAAGTTTAGTTTGAATTCTCATCATGTGTCTACTTGATTTTGTATCAATATTGTAAGGAGAAATTCTATCTTGGTCTCTGATGGGAATCAAAGGGTTGAGTTGGAATGGCTAAGTCTTAACCCTGTAACATCAAATTGGAAATTTTCCTTTTCAGTCACTCTATTTTTTTTGATAGAAATTTAGTCAAGAAAATTAGGTTTAACTTGTATATCAGGATAATGCCCTTCATCTGATAGGTTTGTCCATTCTCATCACTTTTTGAGTAGGTAGTATATTTAGATTAAGAAGAGAAGTCACCTGTTGATCACTTCTAAGAGTTAGTAGGATCAAGTCAGGTTGGAGTTTCTAGATAGGGGAGGGGGGTTACTTAAAATCTGGATAGGGTGGCACTGATATGAGACATTTCAACACTGATCTCATTCAAACAAGAATTTCCAGTTTAAAACGAGGCACTTGTGGCCACTCTCACTTACTTGATCAGTTATTAATCAGCTGTCAAAGTTTTAATTGATGATAAACAACCTGGTGTGCTGTTTCTCTCAATTATTATTATTTTTAAGAATTCAAAATGTTGTTTTAGACACAATTGTTAGGAATTTGTTTTTCTATGTAACTGAATATTGTGCTTTCAATAATTCACAAGAGGAATTGATTTCCATGACCGCATATTTGGCTGTCATGTCATTATGCATCAAACTTTACCTTGCCTCTTTTTATTTTGTTTCTGATTTAGAGAGAGAAGGACAACCTCAGGTTATTTTTCTGTGGATCCAGTTTTAAAAGTGAACAGCTCAGAAACTATCCCATTAGAGTGTGTAAGCTTACAGACTGTGCTGTCTAAGAGTTTAGGACCCTTGGAGGAGTGGAGCGATCGACTTAGGGTTAGTACCCAGTATGTGCAGTGAATTATGTAGTACACAAGACCCCAGTAAATGGTTAAGAATATATGAAAGTCATATATTTGAACTGCGGATAAAGACGTTAATGAAAGTGATCCTCGCAGTAATGTGCACTACTTAGGCAGTAGTGAAAAAAGCGGGATTTGAACCCATGACCTCTGCGATACCGGTGCAGCGCTCTACCAATTGAGTTAACAAGCCAACTGGGAGCTGGTCATGAAGTTTGTTCTAAATAAACCCGTGAAGTGATGAATAAATGGACCCCAAGACCCCAGGTTGTTAGCCAAGGGTTAGCCAACAATTTCGGTTTAGTTTTGTAGCTTTGCTGACAGTTTTGATTGTTTATATTTTTCCTTCAATTTCTTCTTATGTGAAGGTAAAAGCCCCTCAAAATGCAGGTCCTAATGAGCACTTTATTTCAAGAACAAGTTAAACAACTGCACCTCAAGAACTGAGGATCAAATTTTCCTTGGGTAATACCCTGGACAGATCATTGAAATGTGTTCTATAGCAAGTTACTACCTGTACTCTCAAGTTTTGTTGATGCCTTCACTTGGGAGACACATTGCCTCCTTTAGGAAGCACATTGAAGTGTGATGGAGTAACATTCCATTCCTCCATTCAGGGGGAAAAGAAATCAATTAACTCCCTTTATATTTTACAACAATATAATAAGTAATACTTATATTTATACATATTTTGATATTAGATACTTTGTTCAACTGAAGTATTTTCTATAACTTGCTTTGATCTCTCAGGTAACCAAAGAAACTGGTTACAATATGATTCACTTTACGCCAATACAACAACTGGGAAAGTCAAACTCTTCATACTCTCTGTTAGATCAGCTCAGTGTCAATGCTGCTTTTCATTCACCTGGAAGAAAAAATGCTTCCTTTGATGGAGTTAAGGTACATGAATTTGAAATAAATTATAATTAAAAGCAATTCATGAATTATTAACACTTATTTGAGTAATATCATAGATAAAAAAATCATACTGGTGATTTTTTTAGACTAATTAGTTATGACTGATTCATTAACCCTTTAACTCCTATGAGTGACCAAGACAGAATTTCTCCTTACATTAACAATACAATATCAACCAGATAAGTGATGAGAATAAAGAAAAATATCAATTTGGGGATAATTAATTGGTGCAATACTAAATTCTCTGAACTATCATTATTTGATAAGAGTTGTATGATTAACAATAGGGAGAATTAAAAATTTGATCTGGGTGTTGAAGGGTTAACTAAAGATAATGATAGTTACTAAGTTAGTATTTGTAATAACTGATCTTCAGTTCATTGATAATAATTGTACTGTTTGAAAAAGGTATTTCAAAAAACAATTTTAAGACCCAATCATATCCACAACTCTAAGCTTGACTTGTTAACCCATTCACTGCAAAGATCTGAGTGCTAATTCTCCTAACCTGTGATAATGCCAACTGCTGTGGTGTATTACTGAGAATTTAGAGTACTATCAAGACAATTCCCCTGCTGATAATTTTCTTAATTTTCATGAACTATCTTATTGTCGTTGTAAGGAGAATTTACTTGTTGGTCACTCCTCGCAATAAAAGGGTTAAAAAGATGCCATTTCATGACCATATATTAACAATTTGATGCACTGATATTTTTTTATAAACTTTTCTCTTAGGATATTCTTGACAAGATGCGCAGTGAGTGGAAAGTGATGTCTATTGTGGATGTAGTTCTGAATCACACAGCTAACAACTCTCCCTGGTTATGGGATCATCCAGAATGCTCTTACAACTTGGACAACTCTCCTCATCTCAAACCTGCATTTTTGTTGGATCGTGCCTTGTGGCATTTCACCTGTCAAGTAGCTGATGGGCAATGGTCTGCAGATGGTTTACCTGCAGAAGTGAACTGTGAATACCATATACATAGAATAGGTGATATATTGAGGTAAGTTTTGGGAGTTTTCTGTCTTTAAGCCCTTTGACTCTCAGATGTGATCAACATGTAACTTTTCCCTGTAATATCCTTACATTATCTAGCAAATAGATAATGAGGATTAACTCAAATTAGGTAATGAGAATATTCATTATCAGGTAGAAGTTGTTATCTTGGTCTAACACCAAATTCTTGTAACTAATTTACAAGGAAATGTGTAGCAGCTAGAGAATTTACAATTAGTTCTTGGGAGTTGATTAAAAGTGTTCACTCTGAAATGGTTCTTTCTTCTCAGTTACATATATTCCTTCTCAATAAATCAACTGAGAAACGTGGTTTCATATTGCAATAGTATCCTCTAGTTGATAGTTGATGAGGTTGTCAAATCTCATCACCTGTTTGCTGGTGCAAACATAGAATTATTAGGAGAAGTACAGTACATTGAAACCTTTCAATCATTTTTATGAGTTGATAGTTATTAAAAAATTATAATAATCCTATTTTCGTGAGCATAGATAAATTATTTACAAGTACCAAGAAATTACAGAACGGATATATACCAAGATTTTGTTACCAATAGATATTGATTTATTTAATAAGTTATTTTTTTTAATGTCAGGCACCAAGTCTTGCCAAAACTACGGCTATGGGAGTTGTTTAGTGTGGATGTTGCAAAGGCAGTTGATCAGTTCCGTACAGCCATGCTGAAGGTTAAAAAACCAGGGAGTGGCTCTTTAAAACATGATGAGGAGCCACTTGAACTAACAGTAGGTCCATCATATGAACGCTTTTCAGCAACTGTTGATATGGTAAAGGCTGTTGCAAAGTTTAACAGAGAACGGTAAATACATTCTCTTTGTTTTAATTTTCTAATGTAATACTTAATTAACCCTTTAACTCCCAGATCAAATTTGTAATTCTCCTTTCTGTCAACCATACAATTCTTATAATGTTAGTTCAGAGAATTTAGTATTTGATCAACTAATTATCCCCAGTTGATTGTTTTCTTTATTCTCATCACTTTTCTGGTTGATATTGTATGGATATTGTAAGGAGAAATTCTGTCTTGGTCACTTGTGGGAGTGAAAGGGTTAATTCACTTATGGCTATATCACTACTAGCTTACATAATTACTTCATACAGCTCCCACAATTGATATTACACCTTGACTGCAATGCTAAATCACATTTGATCTAATGTTGTGATATATGCATGTTCAGATAATTTTTGTTTTTAGTTCACCCACTGTTATTCAGCATCATAATATCCATACTAACAGTAGTTGCATGTGTTTAAATTCATCATAACATACTTGAAATGGAACCCATTTAATATAATCACTGTTAGAACATAACAATTCTGTCTCATAGGTTGATAAACTTCAAACTGTCTCTAAAGACAAATCGATTGAAAATGAGTAGTGTATCTCTCTTTATTTTTAAAATTTTTATTTTATCTTATCTTTCATAAATTTCCATCATAAAATTTCCTTAAATTAAACAACAGCAAACTTGGTTGTCAGAGAAACCTGATTGTTGGAATTAAGGCTTTCCCTTTTCAGGCATTTAAATTGATTGTACTTTGTTACCTCTTAAGTTCCGATGCTTTGGATGAAAAAGGACGGCTTCAATTATGTTGTGAGGACTTTAAAGCACATCTCAATAACCTCAATGACAATGTCAAGAACAGAGAAGTCACTGATCATATTGAATCTGCCATCCAAAGTGTTCAGAATACAGTGCGGTATGAACGTCTGAATGGGGATGGCCCAAGACATCCAAGAGTCACAAGAACATGTCCTTTAGTAACAAGGTAAGGAGACATTTTTAGGAATTTCTAGATTTGTTATTTAATCCTTCACACCTTAACATCAGTATGCATATTCTCCATACTGTTCTCTAAACATTTCCTATGGTGCTGACAAGGAGAATTTGTAGGGAGCTTAACATGAAGGACTCTAGATTAAGAGGTCAAACTCTATTTTTTGTGTGGGACACTTTTTTCTCACAGTGCTTAAGCATCTAAGAAAAATACACCTGTGGGTGGGTATTGGGAAACTTTTGGGGAATCTTGATGAAATGCTGTTGGGTTATTTTGATAGATGGACCAGTGTCCCAACCATGAAGATATATAGTTGTGTTATTTACTAGGAGGAGGTCCATGAGGAATTTGAATTGTGCCCTATGTCTTGGGTACAGCCTGAGGCCCAAGGCTGAGTGCTGTAGTCAAGTCTAAGGGCACAGTTTTTTTTTTTGCCCATTGCGATCAACCTAAGTTATTTCAGCTAATTTGCTTTTATGCTATGCTGTCAATGGCATGGAAGAAATTCTGAACCATGGTATGTATTGTTGAATTATGGAACGGTTACAAGAGCACAATTAGCCAATCAGACACAAGGAGTCAAGATTCCTTATGCTCCCAGTCACTTCATGAAGTGGAAACCCAAGTTTTTGTAATGATGAACTTCTGGGCTTTCAAAAGTTAAGTCTGACCTTGGATGCTTGAGTTTAAATTATTTATTAAGCATTTGTGTCTATGCTAAAATATACAACCTGTAGAGGCAAAAGGAAAATTTATGGCTCAATGCACCTGCTGGTGCAATGAGCACAGCTGACAATGATGATGTAAAAGGTTGTTGAGTAAAACCTTAGTCTGTGGTGATCTTGTGTTCTTCATTACCAGGTATTTCACTACACCTGGCGACTGTGATACAGTAGAAGAAGAGGAGAAGCTCATGTATTCGAACAAGGCAAAATTTTGCATGGCACATCCAGGATGGATATGGGGTGGTGACCCTCTAAGGGACTTTGCTGCCCCAGGATCATTTGTCTATTTCCGCCGTGAAGTAATTGCATGGGGTGACAGTGTTAAACTTCGATATGGTAAAGGGCCAGAGGATGTACCATTTCTTTGGGATTTCATGTTGAAGTATGTGAAGATTTGTGCAAGGTGAGATAATGGCTGGCCAGAATATCTTTTAGTCTTCTCTTTAGTTTTCTTTCTGTCAAAAAAATTGCTACAACAAGTGTAAATTCCTGGAAAAAACCATCAACAGAAGCCGTAAACAACTGCTAAATAGAAAACCTAATTTCACCTGCAATGTCCAGATTATTAGCTATAACTGATCTGTTTTTTGCGTATCGATATGATGCATTAGTTAGCAATTGAAAAGACTTCCACAGTAACAACTCAAGACTATTCTTTGTTTTTATAGCACAATGGCCGCTTAAATTTTGCGGGCAATGACCTCTTTCTCAGCCAGTGCCTAGTGAAATCTGCAGGTCCAGTAACCATGCTTTAAATGTTTATATCTCTGACAATTGCTCTGTATTTTAGGGTATTTGATGGTATTCGCCTTGATAATTGTCACAGCACTCCACTTCATGTGGCAGAGGTTAGTAGAACATATTTTAAACCATTAAATAAAACTGTATAGAGAGGCATTGAGTAATTCCAAACCTCTTCCCAAAACTGTTGTGAACTGCACCGGTGCATCCAGACCAGTCCTGTTGAGAAAGAATGGATAAATGTTTCTCTTAAGATGTTAAATTTTAATTGCAGTACTTTGTAGATGCAGCAAGGCGAGTGGAACCTGACCTTTATGTTACAGCAGAATTGTTCACTGGTTCTGAAGCTACGGACAATATTTTTGTGAACCGACTAGGAATTACATCTCTTATAAGAGGTAAGAACCCTTTGACTACTATAATTCAACAGCGTCTAATTTCTCCTTACTAAATCACCCCACAATCAAATCTCAAAAAGGGGAATATTGGGATTTTCGCTTTTGCAGTTTTGGCTATCTTTTAGATCGGTTTTTCGGTTTTTTGTGTCAATAAAAGTTCGGTTTTGCGGTTTTTGTTTTTATTGCGGTTTGCGCATTTTTCGGTTTTTAGCATTTGGTCTTCGGTTTTTGTCAAAAATACTTTTGGGCTTTTGGATTTGGTATCCTATGTGGTTTTCGGTTTTTCCTTTTTGGGTTCCGCAGTTCCTCTTCCTTCTGAGCGGCAATTTTCGCCTCCACGCAACGCAAAGCATAGCCGCGAAACCTCTTTTTGCTCCACTTGTCACCTCTATATCGGATCGATTAGGGTTTTGATAACTGGGATATGAAAATTTATCAGCTTTAACAGTTTTGCATGCGGTTTTCGGTTTTGATCGAATCTTTTTACGGCTTTGGATGATTTTTTTTCCCTTGGTTTTGCGGTTTCATATTGGTGTGAGGGTGTAAAGGGAGTAAATACTTGTAGATAAGGTCACCAAACTGGAAACATTTGGAAGATAGAATAATTGATATTGGTGACTGCAACAAAACTTTTTTAAACTTGGTTTACGGTAGTTGTTTCTTAAGCATCTTCTCTACTACAAAATATCTGTTCTCATTCTGAATTCTCGTTGTTTAATCTTGAACGTTTTGGTTTGTTTATCTCCCAAACAGAAGCTCTAAATGCTCCTGACCCACATGAGGAAGGCAGGCTGATTTACCTCTATGGGGGTGAAACTGTTGGTGCTTTCATGCACCCATCAGCTGTGAAGCCTCTTGTGCCTGTCATCGCGCATGCTCTGTTTATGGATGTTACACATGATAACCCTTCACCATTTCAGGTACATGAAGAGAATTTATCAAGTATATCTCCCTGTAGGAGTAACATGATAGTAAAAACTTGCTGGTCAATTTATTTAAACAAATTCTGCGGTGAGAGAGTGCTTCATTGAAGAAATGTAAAATGGTTTCCGTGTTTACATAGCCTGATGTAAACACGCGGGAGGTTGGGAGAACATGAGATAAGCGTAGGAAACCACGACGCGAAGCGGAGTGGTTTCCAACTTATCGAGTGTTCTCCCAACCTCCCAAGTGTTTACATCAGGCTATGTAAACATGGAAACCATTTTACATTTCTTTTATAAAATAACTAATGAAAGAGGAACGAAAACCGTGTTTACATGCGCTCATGTAAAATGGTTTTATGGCCAATCAGAGCGCGCGTATTATTTGAATTATTTTATAAATTCCCTTATACATACCTGTGATGAGTGTGTTCACAGTGGGATTTTTTTCTTGCAACTGCAATAAAACTTTTGCTGGAAATAGTTTATAAAACAACCCTTTCAAGTGCCAGCTGTGAATTTGATTAGATATGAAGCACATGGAGAGTACTCAAGAAGTTAGAGTTTCTCTCAGCTACGCCTAAAGTAACGACTTTATTTGATTACTGGTAAGCACCCTGAGGGCTTATTTGACGTTTGGACCTTTGTAGAGAGTGTTTATTCGAAGGTGGGCTCTTATTCAAAATAATTGTTATAAAATATGAGATGTATTGATAGACAGTAAATTTAGGCACCCACCTACAGGGTGGGTGCTTATTCAAGGTTAGGCGTTCAATCAAATAAATGTATCCTGATGAGTGCATTCTAATTCAGCTACAGTTAGACCAAAATTAATATCTAGTGGAGTCGATGGTGAAGAAAGTAGAGTACTCTGTAAGCTTTTGTATGAGTATCCAAGGGTGTTTTATCATTAAAAACATTATATCTGTGAAAAAAAAAATATCTGTGAACTTTTACTTATTTTCCTTAAAAAGCATTGAAAGAAAACTGTATTATTTGTGAAATGATATAGCTATTGTTTTTTCTCAGGTGCGATCAGTTTATGACTCAATTGCCAGTTCAGCTTTAGTATCAATGGCTTGTTGTGCCACGGGTAGTTCCAGAGGATACGACGAACTGGTGCCGCATCATGTAAGTTAAACTCGCTCTGATGGTAGATGCATTTTTTGGTGGGTTTAAAAGGGGAGATACAGAAAGTAAAAGGAACAAAGAAAATATAGCAGTTAAACACTTGAGGGATGGGTGGGTAATGTTCGAAGACAAGATAAAAACAATTTGATAGAAGGAGAAAGATTTAGTCGCGTAAGAACTCGGGAGGAGGAAGAAAACGGGTGCTTGTGATGAGATATAGTATGCAAATACTTGTTCCTTGCATGTCATTAAGAGATATTCTATCATCCTGAAGATATCTTAAAATTCATAATCAAAGATTTGTTAGTTAATTCCTGTGTGTTTAAATTGTGTTGTAGATCCATGTCGTAAAAGAAGATCGCTTGTACTTGTCTTGGCCAAATGACAAATCTAAACTTGAAAAAGCGGCATTTGTGAAAGAGACTGATGGTATTATCTCAGCCAAAAAAGCCATCAATGAACTGCACAGATGGCTCGGTGAAGAAGGATACACACAGGTAAAAAGTTTCCTTTGCAAGTCATTTGTTCTTACCACATTTTAACGTCATCTATGATGTAGAACCCAACAGACGCAAGGCAATATAGGATCTATTTGTTAAATATTTCCATGTACCAGTTTCAACAGAAACGACATCCTCTTGTTGTTTCTTTCTTTAGTATTTTCTACTTAAAAAATTGCTTCGCGGTCTCTCTTGGGACCGTCGAAAGGTTAATTTCAACCTCTGTTGTATCAAAACGTTAGAAGTAATTATTCTTTTTTCCATTGAGTGAGTTTTGATATTATTTTCTAGGTGTATGTGGACCAGATTCACCATGATGTTCACGCCATTACCAGGCACTGCCCAGACAAGAGAAAGACTGTCGTGTTAGTAGCACATTCTGCCTTTCACCACCCCTCTGACCATCTTCAACCCACTAAGGACAGGCAGGAGATTCACATGAGTGGTATTCCACCACTAAACATCCCAGGTCGGTCATATGGATAAATAACTACTATACTAATTATTATATCAAGCGTTATATATGGGATGATAGGTGTAAGCCAAGCTAGCTGTAGGTATGGAATGTTACTTTTATTGAGAACAGCTCAGAGAAAATCCTAAAATGCGCATCCAACATCGCAGCAAAAATGCTTCAATGGGGTATTTCTTTGTTTCAACCCGTGTCCATGCTATGTGGGGTGAGTTATCATACCCTGTCAGAACCAATCAGAACCCAGGAATGACTAGGGATATGCTATGGCTAGTCTTTTTTTAAATGCCACATAGTCGATGTTTATATTAAGTGGCGATTATGTACTTATTGACTGAGTGGAAGAGCCGGACCTACGTCCACGGCCCTCATACAGGGCAAGCAAGCTGTTTCCGTAGTTATTTTGTCTTTTTTACAGAAGTTCTTTATTTGTTTCGGGATGACTATGTTTTTCGCTCGGTAGGTGAGATCAACGAAATCATTTTTGAAGCCATGTTGCTGAAGAGGCAAGATGCAAGTGAATTTATTAAAGATGCTGAATTTATCAATGGACTTCAGTCACATGAAGTGCTACTCCAGAGGCATAAACCACTCCATGAGGCCAAGGTAAGACTGGGAATAGTCACTCTGACTTCCCTCAAACTAGACGCGCACTAGACGCATATCTGCCGTGTATTTAGGCTCCTGAAGTGGTTAAATTCACGCACAGTTTTTTAGGTAAAATTTTCATATGCATGTGAAATTTACCACTTGAAGGCGTGTCAGAGGGCTTTCCAATTGTGTGTCATATAATCAAAGTAATTACAACGGTAAGTCAGAAGAACGGAAAATGCAGCCCAGAAGAACCAATGAGAACTCAAAGTGAGATCAAGCAAACTGCCTAAAGCGAAGGAAAACGCGGGAATCTGTCGGCCGAAAGATAACCGACAGATTACCGACAGTCAGCCGACTGTTGGCCGACAGTTAGCCCTCTGTCGGTGGAGGGGAGCTGTTCTTCACAATTACCGACCAAGGCGCGATTGGTGTTAGTTTTGCATCTGATTGGTTGATTGAGTGTAGCGAGTTTTCTGGACCAATCGCGAAGCAAAATAAAGGAAGCAGGGCTTTAAAACTGACCCAAATACGCGCAAAAACTGAAAAGAACTCAACAAGGGTCTCATTTAAACAAAGGCCAATGCTTCACAAAAAGGTTCAAACAAAGTAACGAATACTGCTGCATCCAAAAGTCATCGACTTGTCGTGCTTGGAACATTCAACCTCTCTTTTTAATCATACTTTAGACTTGTCGTGCTGAACAGAAAGGAAATAACAGTTTTGAAGTATATTTTGATCATTTCGCCCCGGGAAGTGTCATTGCATTTGATGTCACCATGGAAACCAACGTCAAGAATGCTCTCGGTCAGTTGAGGTAAGGTGCCAGACAGAGGCTATATAGTTATTTGCTGCGTCATGTCTTTTGAGCCGTTTTAGTAATCGTTTGATATATTCTGTGTTTTTCTTTCTTTTCTTCTGTTCCTTTAGACAGCTTGGAGTGGATTTGTATGAGAAACAGTCTGGGAGCCAGGAGAGTTACAAAATGATTGATGAGTTAGACGACATACTCGCCAATCTGTCGCTGTCCGATCTCAACCGAGTGTTGTACCGAGCAGATCCCGAAGAACGAGATGATGGTAATGGTGGGGGAGTGTATGTTCTGCCTGATACAGGACCTCTTGTTTATTGTGGTTTACAAGGTCAGTGCAGACGTTTTCTCCATTAAAGGAACGTTATTGGGTTATATATTGGGTTATTGGTGGTAGATCAAGATAACAACTTCTACCTGATAAGTTTGAATATTCTCATAACTTGTTTACTGGATAATGTATGGATGTTATGGAGAGAAGTTATGTATTAATCACTTCTGGGAGTTAGTGGGTCAAGAGGGGTGCTGTGAGAACTGTTAGTGGGTCAAGAGGGGTGCTGTGAGAACTGTTAGTGGGTCAAGAGGGGTGCTGTGAGAACTGTTAGTGGGTCAAGAGGGGTGCTGTGAGAACTGTTAGTGGGTCAAGAGGGGTGCTGTGAGAACTGTTAGTGGGTCAAGAGGGGTGCTGTGAGAACTGTTAGTGGGTCAAAAGGGGTGCTGTGAGAACTGTTAGTGAGTCAAGAGGGGTGCTGTGAGAACTGTTAGTGGGTCAAGAGGGGTGCTGTGAGAACTGTTAGTGGGTCAAAAGGGGTGCTGTGAGAACTGTTAGTGGGTCAAGAGGGGTGCTGTGAGAACTGTTAGTGGGTCAAGAGGGGTGCTGTGAGAACTGTTAGTGAGTCAAGAGGGGTGCTGTGAGAACTGTTAGTGGGTCAAGAGGGGTGCTGTGAGAACTGTTAGTGGGTCAAGAGGGGTGCTGTGAGAACTGTTAGTGGGTCAAGAGGGGTGCTGTGAGAACTGTTAGTGGGTCAAGAGGGGTGCTGTGAGAACTGTTAGTGGGTCAAGAGGGGTGCTGTGAGAACTGTTAGTGGGTCAAGAGGGGTGCTGTGAGAACTGTTAGTGGGTCAAGAGGGGTGCTGTGAGAACTGTTAGTGGGTCAAGAGGGATGCTGTGAGAACTGTTAGTGGGTCAAGAGGGGAGAACTGTTAGTGGGTCAAGAGGGGTGCTGTGAGAACTGTTAGTGGGTCAAGAGGGGTGCTGTGAGAACTGTTAGTGGGTCAAGAGGGGTGCTGTGAGAACTGTTAGTGGGTCAAGAGGGGTGCTGTGAGAACTGTTAGTGGGTCAAGAGGGGTGCTGTGAGAACTGTTAGTGGGTCAAGAGGGGTGCTGTGAGAACTGTTAGTGGGTCAAGAGGGGTGCTGTGAGAACTGTTAGTGGGTCAAGAGGGGTGCTGTGAGAACTGTTAGTGGGTCAAGAGGGGTGCTGTGAGAACTGTTAGTGGGTCAAGAGGGGTGCTGTGAGAACTGTTAGTGGGTCAAGAGGGGTGCTGTGAGAACTGTTAGTGGGTCAAGAGGGGTGCTGTGAGAACTGTTAGTGGGTCAAGAGGGGTGCTGTGAGAACTGTTAGTGGGTCAAGAGGGGTGCTGTGAGAACTGTTAGTGGGTCAAGAGGGGTGCTGTGAGAACTGTTAGTGGGTCAAGAGGGGTGCTGTGAGAACTGTTAGTGGGTCAAGAGGGGTGCTGTGAGAACTGTTAGTGGGTCAAAAGGGGTGCTGTGAGAACTGTTAGTGGGTCAAGAGGGGTGGTGAGAACAAGAGGGGTGCTGTGAGAACTGTTAGTGGGTCAAAAGGGGTGCTGTGAGAACTGTTAGTGGGTCAAGAGGGGTGCTGTGAGAACTGTTAGTGGGTCTGCTTGAGAACTGTTAGGGTCAAGAGGGGTGCTGTGAGAACTGTTAGTGGGTCAAGAGGGGTGCTGTGAGAACTGTTAGTGGGTCAAGAGGGGTGCTGTGAGAACTGTTAGTGGGTCAAGAGGGGTGCTGTGAGAACTGTTAGTGGAACTGTTAGTTCAAGAGGGGTGCTGTGAGAACTGTTAGTGGGTCAAAAGGGGTGCTGTGAGAACTGTTAGTGGGTCAAGAGGGGTGCTGTGAGAACTGTTAGTGGGTCAAGAGGGGTGCTGTGAGAACTGTTAGTGGGTGGGTCTGTGAGAACTGTTAGTGAGGGGTGCTGTGAGAACTGTTAGTGGGTCAAGAGGGGTGCTGTGAGAACTGTTAGTGGGTCAAGAGGGGTGCTGTGAGAACTGTTAGTGGGTCAAGAGGGGTGCTGTGAGAACTGTTAGTGGGTCAAGAGGGGTGCTGTGAGAACTGTTAGTGGGTCAAGAGGGGTGCTGTGAGAACTGTTAGTGGGTCAAGAGGGGTGCTGTGAGAACTGTTAGTGGGTCAAGAGGGGTGCTGTGAGAACTGTTAGTGGGTCAAGAGGGGTGCTGTGAGAACTGTTAGTGGGTCAAGAGGGGTGCTGTGAGAAGATTTGAATGGCATAGTTTGCTTCAGGAAAGTGTTGTATCAGAGATAAAGCGAGTCCTTCCACTTTTCGGGTCCTTCGACGTTTGTGTATAGTTTTCATCTGTTTTATTTTTGTACTGTTTTGTACTGCCCTTTCGTTGCTTAAGCAGCTACATCTAGGCAGTTTGAAAAGCCGTAAAATTCTGGAGTAAAACTTTTTCTTTCAAATCGGCATTTCGGGATCAACAAACGCTTTTCATTTGATTTTATTTGTTGTTGCGTTTTTCATGTTACCATGTACCCAACAATAGCGTAGCTCCATCTTTCTGTAAACAAATCATACACAAGACACAATTCTCCTATTCACCCTGACGAAGGGCTAACGTTCGAAACGTCAGCCCTTCGAAATTCTTTATGGCGGGTAGTTTACATAATCAACTCATTTAATAAAAGCAAATTATCTTTTAATGCTCCTCACCAACGCAGCACCACAATTTCTTTTGAAACTTACCCCTTTTTTGCTGTTGTTTGTTTAACGTCCTACAGGTGTGATATCAGTGCTGGCCAATGTCCGGCCGTTTGATGATCTCGCTCACCCTCTGTGTAGAAATCTGCGGGATGGAAACTGGTTGTTGGATTATGTTGTGGGAAGACTTCTTCCTTTTGTTGGTACAAGACAGGTCAGTGAATAGCATCTAATTTCTCCTTACAATATCATCTCGAAATTACACATCAAGGTAATGAGAATTAAGGAGATGATCCAAAACTAAAGAAGCTCTGGATAGTTTACTAAATTCTCCTTTTCAGCACCTTAGGGAATTTATAGAGCACAGTATGGATAATATGCATACTGATGTAAGGGTATGAGGGTTTAAGGCAAGAGCTCTGAATTGCAGTTAACACGACTGAATATAGGTAACAGGTACAAAGATTGTAAGAGCTTTTTTCTCTAGTTGGCACTTGGCACGTGAAAGCTTCCCAAAGACTTTGTTTTTGTTATTGTATAATTACTTTATGATATCCGTTGTGTTTATACCTGTAGTTGGGTGTATGGCTTGACAAGGTTTTCAGTCTGATCAAGGAATGTCCAAGATATCTGGTTCCATGCTACTTTGACGCCATTATCACCCCTCTTTATCTTAAACTGCTGGATCGAGCTTGGAGCCAGATGTCAAGGTTTGTTGTTTCTTTTTCTGTGAAGTTTTTCCAGTGGCCTTGTGGATGCTTTGAAATTCATCTTGTGGTATCATCTCTTAGAGGAGAACACGGTACCATCCGTGTAATTTAAAATTTCCATTTTTTCAGTTTTGTTCAAAATGGCTCATCATTCCTCAAAGCCCTTTCACTTGGCTCGCTCCAGTTCGTTGGCCTGTCTCGGACAGCCTCGCTTCCAGCTCTGTCGCCCCAACTGTACCATGGTCCATCATCTGGGGCTGACATGCCAACTCTGATGTCATTAGCGGCTGGTTTGCCTCATTTTTCTTCTGGCTTCATGCGCTGCTGGGGGCGAGATACGTTTATTGCACTTAGAGGTTTATTACTTGTAACGGGCAGGTACCAGGATGCCAGGTATATAAGTTAAGAAGCTCTTGTACCTACTTGCATGTGAAATGTTATTGAGAGGTTTTAAATTTAATGTCGAAAATTACTCTGGAATTGCCTTGATTTTGTCATACCTCTCTATGCGAACGGTCCAGAAAACTCGCGCCAATTTCTCAGCCAATCAGATTAAAAACTACAACCAATCGCGACTTGGTCGCCCGCATTTTCCCTCGCTTCGGGCAGTTGCTAGTTTTTACTTTGAATTCTCATTGGCTACTTGTGATATTTTCTTTTTTTGTGATTGGCTGTTGAGATTACTTTGGTGCTGGTTTTACGACGCTCAATCGAACTGTAAATAAAATACTTGTTTTCAAAGCCCTTTGCCTTCTCAATGTTCTCTAATTTCTTGGACTATTGCAGACATCATATCTTGGCCTTTGCTGGATGTATCCGCCATGGCCTCATTCCTAACCTGTTGGACGGTGGACGCAAGCCCCGGTATAACTGTAGGGACGCCCCGTGGTGGTGGCTCCAGTGTATTCAGGATTATTGCTCCATTGTCCCGGATGGGCTGAAGATCCTGTCGGAACCAGTCTCCAGGATCTTCCCTTCGGATTGTTCTGATCCGCAGCCGCCAGGCAAAACCGTAAGTTAAAATATTTTAAACTTCCCTAAAAAACCCTCGAAATAATTTAGATAGACACTGTTTATTCGCCTGAAAAACAGTGCACGCAGCCAAAAATCTTCTCACTCCAATTTAATGATCCTTACAATTCGCGTACGTGCGCATTCTCGCTTGCAATCTTGTTGATGTCACACTGCACGTCCGTCATAACGGAAGTAGACGTTGCCGTCCCTTTCTTTTCCAGGATCAGCCTCTATATGACGTAATACAAGAAGTTATGCAACGCCATTTCAACGGTATCAGTTTCCGTGAGCGGGGAGCTGGGCCCGAGCTAGACAACCACATGCATGGTGCAGGGTTCAATGTCTCTGTTGGTGTCCGCGAGAGCACTGGGTTTGTTTATGGTGGGAGCCAGTGGAATGCTGGGACATGGATGGACAAAGTTGGTGAATCTCATATGGCGGGAAACTTTGGAGTGCCTGCCACTCCCAGGTAAATACCTTGCTTATTGTTTATGGGAACAGGAAACACAAATATTAACCTTAATTCAAATACTCTACAGTTTAAGAACTATACAGCAGACAGTCAGATCAAGATAGTTTCTTACTGATAAGTTTGATTATTCTTATTTCCTGTTTGCTGGATAAAGTATATATATTATTGGGAGAAGTTACATTTGAATCACTTCTTGGAGTTAAAAGGTTGAATTGTTTTCGTGAGCTCGCTTTAAAAGCTTCTCGTTGTTTCGTGTCTTAGTCTCCAGTAAAGTCAATTCTCGAGAGTTGAACATCGCACAGTTCATTCAAGTTAAGTTGAATACTCTGTTTTAGGGACGGCAGCGCAGTTGAGATAGTGGGTCTTTGCAAATCAACTGTGCGTTGGTTAGCTGAGCTGTGTGATCAAAAGAAGTTTCCATATGCGGGCGTGTCAAAACTTCAAGATGGTATGTTTAATCTTCATTACAGTGCCGATATAAATGCAAAGTTCCCTGGTACATCCATTTGTCCAAATTTTAAGCAATTAAAAGGGTATCTTTGTCATCAACCTTGGATGTCATATTGTTGAGAAGTATTCACTTGTTACAAGGTGCTGTTCATTCTTGGGAGTGAAACTGAACTTTTCTTTGATATTTATTGTTGCAAGTTCATTAGGAAATTTATTAGCAGAATAGGAATTCCATCATCGCTTCATTTACAGGCGTAACTTTACATCTTTTAAGGTTTTCCCGTAGAGTTATCTTACAAGGAGTGGAGCTTGAAGATTCAGAATGCGTTTGAAGAACATTTCTGGATACCTGAGGATCCTAAAGATAAAAAGCAGCAAGGTGATGAAGACAAATTGGTCCACAGAAGAGGAATTTACAAAGACACTGTCGGAGCTACTCACAGATTTACAGATTACCAGTTCAGACCTAACTTGTGTGTGGCTATGGTTGTGGTAAGTTCAGTTCGGTGTTTGTAGGTAGCAAGATCGCCCCTATTCTTACTAGTTCTCCTCTAGCAATACAACAATTGCGCTCCTTCCTTTACCAGTTCGCCTTAAAATCTTGTTATATTTGAAGGGGCAGACTGGTCGTGGTGGGGGCGAACTGGTAAAGGGGAACGTGCGATTGGTCGAAACCTCCATAAACTGTTACATTCTTGTCGGTATCACTACATCTCAACCTCTGACTTTGAGATTTGTTCAGGGCTTAATTTATCCTTGAAATTTTAGTCCATCGTTGCAAAGAGGATAACTCGATAAAATTTAAAAAAATTGTTTGCTAAAGCGTTATGATATTTTCATGATTAAGAGGAAATTCTCAGAACTAGCTAACAAGTGAAGGTATTGTTACATGTGAGGAGAGTTAACCTTTAGATCTTGGCCTAATTTGCCACGTGTTTCGCTGATATTCTAGGCTCCAGAGATGTTTAACCCTGAAAATGCGTGGAAGTGTCTTGACATGGTGGAGGAAATTCTCTTAGGTCCACTGGGCATGGCTACATTGGATCCCAGGTAACGTAATCGCACATCTGTGGAAAAAATGTAAAAAAACTTAATTAAAACTTCCGCACTCAGTAAAACACAAAAAGAGAAAAAGAGTAGAGGAGTAGAAAGGACAGAGAGAAAGGGAGAGAGTGTAAGCAGTGGCGGATCTCCCCCGCTTATTTTGGGTAAAAAAAAAAAGAATTGCAGAAGGAAGAAAAGCCGGCAGGGCAAGCGACATAAAAGCGCCCTCCTCCCTCCCTTTAGCTCAAGGTCTGGATCCGCCACTGGTAAGGAAGGGGAAATGGTAGGCTTTGTTGTACCCATCTGCAAGTGCTCCGCGTATAATTCACTGCTGTTGATTGCTATGTTACTGTCTTTTTTTTAATTTGATACTATTTCTTTCTGTTTCAGTGACTGGGCGTATGAAGGAGTTTATGACAACTCGCAAGACTCCACCTCATACAAGAGTGCTAAGGGATTCGCTTATCACCAAGGCCCGGTGAGTCAGTCAATAATTTGATATTTGAAAGACGGGATTAACTCTGTGACATCGTGTTTTTGTAGCTGGTTGCTGCTCCCCTCTCCTCCCCCCACTTAAGGAGGGTGTTAAAGGGAAAGTTACTATAATTTCGACACCTTAGTAGTGGGAAAAAGAAAAGGACGAAGAGACTAAGTCATGAAAAAAAATTAGGAAATTTCTTTTTGGTTTGAGAGAACCAGTCCTGTTAATTTTTTTGCTTTTTTTATTGGGCTCGCATATAAGTGACGTGTTGAGTGAAAAAATACCGTATCGAAATGAGAAGCTTAGAATCGTAGATTAGCAACTCTAAGAGAAGGTTATTCCCCCGAAAAGAGGCACCTGAAAGAAGAAGCACCACAGAATTGCGGCACTCAAATATAAGAACCAAGCAAGACTTAAACAATTTGGTTTATCGTTTTGAAAACATGATATTACCCACATCTGAGAGGGAGTATAATCTTTGTATCGTTATTTTGTAGGAGTGGCTATGGTGTACTGGCCCTTTCTTGAGAGCTCGGCTGTACTTCGCTAAAAAACTTCATGGTCCAAAGGGACTGGAACTGGCAGTTGTGCGTGTAAAGAGCATCCTGGCAAGACACAAGGTAGAGATAACGAGCTCCCCCTGGCGTAGCCTACCAGAACTTACTAATGCAGGGGGGGCTCCGTGTCATGATGGCTGTCCAGCACAGGCGTGGTCTGTCGGCTGCTTGTTGGATGTGCTGTATGATATGGAAAAGTTGGTCAAAGATAATTAAACTTAGTTTTTATTAATTAGTCTTTTTCTTCCCTATCGTTGTTTTAAGTAACGCAACTTCTGTAACGTAACTCAATGGTGGGTTTGCCACGCACGTTGTCGTCATTATGTGACGTGACTATAAGTGGTCACGGAACGGGTTAGATTGCGTGACTATGAAACGGCAGCTTGCCTAGAAAAACTGGAAGGTTTAGGTAAAGTCGAATATCATAGAGATGTCCCTAGGTTATTCCAAGTCAGATTTCACTTAGGTAAGATTTGCAAGTAATGATAATGATAAATATTTAGTTAATGTTTTTTGGTGTAGAACTGACATTTTCTAACTCGTGAATGTTTTATTGTTTGTTTTCAACTTCAGATTTCTTTTTTGCATTAGTTTAGGAAAGACTTGGAGCTTTCAAAGTAGTTAGGTGCAAAACCTTTTTTAATGGCTTATTTAAGATGGGATGTAATTTTTTTCTCCAGGCCTGATCCTCCAATCCTAACGAAAAAACACAAATAACGAAACAAAAATGAATATTAGTTTTAATGAAAAAACAAGATGTAATAGTATTTTTGTGAAATCGTATGTATACTTCATCAACCGAAGTGTAATTCCTTCTTTGCCCAACCTGAGATCTATATGCGGGCTCTACCATTTTAACGGTGTGTATTGGCGCATGCGCTTGAGCCTGCGCAGTAGAAAAGCACTTAGAGGGGATTACATCATGGGAAATCGTAGTGTCTCCAATGTAGCATCAAGTTACAACATTGAAAAATTAGTGATTTCGTAGAAAGGAACTAATTGCTCAGAATATGAAATTGGTTATGTATATTTTATGTAGAATGTCGAATTTTTTTTTTGCTATAGTATTATTTATGCAAGTTATTTCGTCAGGGTTATTTTGCATTTTAGGTGTAACGTGAGTTGTCTGTTCGTTCCACTGTACGTGATTTAAAAGAACTTTAAAAAATAAATGAAATATGAATGAATTTTTTATTCTTCTTGTGGTGAAAACCCTTCCATAACATTATTACGATATTTTAAACCCCGCGACCGGCCATCATAGTTGTTTTCCGGCACTTCTCGTTTCCCCTCGAATATACAATACTGATCATTCGATCAAATAGTTGATTTCTCCGTGATAACAGCTGGTACTTTAGTCGTCTCAAAGCGTCTGAAGACAGAAGTAAATCACATTGAGGATAGCAAACAAAAGACGAAGTCCACCCCTAAGAGGTAAAGTACCGACCCACTCTCCTTGACAATGGTAGCCCCAGTCTCGTACCCAGACCTTCCACGGCTACGCGGTTATAGTTAAACGGTAAGATCTGGGTACAAGATTAGGCTAACCCTTACCCTCCACCCAGGGGATCGCAAGCTTAAGTCTGCTCACAAACAACGTCTTCTGAGAAACGTATACGCAACGCAGCCTTGCGAGTTAAGACTGGTATCTTTCTTGTATTGCGTTAGCTTCAATATTTCGCGACTTGATTCAGACCAATCTCACGTTTCAATCCACCGCTGGCTATCGCACCGCTTACCTTCGAGTTGCACTTGACTAACTGGATGTCAGAAGTAGAGTGGTTAATATGCTCCGCAATCAAAAGTTTATACTCCGTTATCTTTAAAATTCCGGCACTGAAGTGAGGCTTAGAAGGCGGAAGTAATCTGACACGTCCCATCAGTCTTGGCGGGTAACAACCGGTATGGCGGCCATATTGCGGACAATGTGCTCACAGAAGATAACTGAATCGACTTAGCTCAGCGTTTTGCGAAAGTATATTCTATATTTTTAGGGTCCAAAACGTTGAAGTACCTCAGGGTAAACATAAGTTAACTTAACTCACTTGGTTTGCTGGCTGAATTCAAGATGTCAGTGTAACAGCGATGACCTTGATTAGAAAGATTTGTTTGCACCTAACAAGGTAAGATTTTCTCGCTTTTATGACATTTACGTTCAATTTAAGGCTGTATTTATGACAGTTTAGGTAGTTATGATTTTGCTCTCAATTTCGGCAGTCGACGACAAGATTTCCACACAGCCCATACTTCATTATGCATACAGTTCTAGTATGAAAGAAAACAATGGCTGAAGTAAGAGGTTGCCTTTGGGGCTTCGGCCCTAAAATAGCCAGTCGTCAATACTTGGAAAAATTATCTGTCATTTTGAAATAAGGGCAAGACGCTAGTACGAGAATTTTCATGCTGCCTTCTAGACCCAATATTGAATTCGTGTAACTTCTTTTTTGTGGTAAAACAAACAGTTTTTGATAATAGATCATCCTTTTTAACAGCAAGTTTACCTTTAAGCCTTGAGACGACAGTGGGACAGACTGACTGTCCAGCTGACAGACTTAGAGTAACTGAGTAACTTACTTAAGTTAGATTTTAAACATTGTAATTTTATTTTATAAATAAACTGCAACAAACATCAAAAACTTTGACCAACTGGATGATTGCCTGACTGAATAGCTCACTAACTTTGAGTCTGTTACTCACAGGCTGTTTGACTGACTGTCTGACTAACTCACTGACAGACTTTCTCACGTACTCACTGACGGACAGACTGATTGATGGACTGACTGATTGATTGATAGCATGACTGAATGACCCACTAACTTTATAACTCAGTGACTTACAGACTGTTTGACTGACTGTCTGACTAACTTGGTCACTGACAGAATTTCTGACTGACTGACTGATGGTCTTTCTCACTTATATACTGACTCACTAATGGACAGAGTGGCTTACAGAATGACTGACTGTCTGATGCACTGACTTCTTCACTTATTTATGAACTCACAGATGATCGGAGTGGCTGACAGAGTGATTATCTGATGGGCTGACTGACTTACTAACTAGTTGGAGGATGGACTGATTGATTGACTGACTGACCAACAGACTGACTTTCCCACTTATTTACTAATTTAATGACTGGCTGAAGAACTAACCCTACTTTCTGATGGACCAACTGTTTGACTGAATAACTGACTGACTGACTAACTGATTTTCTGACTGACTGACCAATTGACTAACAGATTAATTGACTTAAGACTAACTGATTAACTGACTAGCTGACTGAGTGACTGACTAAATGACTGATTGTCTGACTGTCTAAATGAGTTACTAACCCACTCACTGACACACTGGCTGACTTTTTGACTGACAGACTCTGACAGATCGGTTGACAAACTGACTGATTGACCGACAATCTGACTTGTAAGATTGGGTTATTGAATGGAAGACAATTTGACAGATTGACTGACTGAGTTACTGTATAATTGTGTGCCTGTGTGACATTCTGTTTGGCTGGAAGGTTTGATTGTTAGATCAAATGACTGACGGACACACTACATCACTGATTAATTGAATGGACATATAAGACTGTCACTGAATGATACTTCAACATTGTTACACCAGTTTGCATGTCATGAAAAATTACCATTAAAAAAACCCAAAACCAAAAAATTGAACTGTATTGGTATTTGCCTGGCTTTGCAGCCTGTTATAGTTTGGTCTTCAACTCCTGTAAATGGATAACCCTTTTTAAGGAAAACTTTCTAATCGCATTTAATGTGTAGAACAAAAACATTTTTTCTTCAAAGAGTTTTAAAAACAGTTCTGTTAATTTCTTGTGGGAACTAGTAAGTTGAACCATATTGGTGTTTGGCTGGTTTTGCAGCCTATGCTTTGTGATGCTTCCAAAACAGTTGATACATTTCTCATTTGAACGCACATTTAAAAGCCATAAGTGAAATGGAGTTTGCATGATTTAATATTTTGACTATGCCGAAGTTGTCATGAAACATTGGAGCACTTTAGCGATTGAGTGTTGTAAAACCAATAACAATTTGAAAGTAATCACAATGACCAATCAAAAGAAAGAAAATACCTTTAAGAACCAATGAGAACTAAAAGTAAAAACAACCAAACTGCCTGAAGTGCAAGAAAACGCAGGAGACCAAGTTGTGATTGATTTTTGTTTTGCATCTGATTGGTTGAGAGAGTGGTGTGAGTTTTCTGGACCAATCACAGAGGGAAGTAAAGTAAAAACAAAGCAACCGATTACTTTTGGATTACTCTGGATTGAAAATTGTTTTATCAATTTAATAAATTATGTCTCATTAGTAGCTTTCCTTTATTGATTTTATGATTCTATTTGACAAACATTTTGAATAGTCTTGTAATTGCTTTTTTAATTAAAGGCATTTTGTGAAGTGTAGTACTTATTGACTTTTACTTTAACAGGAAGATGCCAACTGGAACATGAAGTAGACCAGCCTCAGCAGTCAGGATGTGGCCGTCATCTTCAAAGAGTTGTTGTTTTACTTAATTGCAATCCAGCCTTTGGGTGAACCAGGTAAACAAAACTCTTGTTTAAGCCAAGTTCAGTGCTAAATTTGCCTGAGACATGCAATCTATATAAGTGCCATGCTTGATTCTCACTGTGTATGAGATGTATGTAGTCTTCTTTGTTTTCCTTGGAACATAGGACCTTCACTGTAAGCCACCATCTCTATCAATCTTGGGACAGTCTCTGTCTCCTTCCCAGACCCCTTCCTTCAGTCCTTGGCTTTACTTGCAGAGTTGGTCTCCCTAAGGAGGATCTAAAATAATCACCCAAATGGCCAATTTACTGTGGAAATAAAATTAGTGTTGTTTCCTTTGGATAGTTTTCATAAATTGGTTTGAAAAAGAGAAAAATATCAGTAGTAGTGAGGTTAAGAAATCATGCAGCAAACCAAAAGGATGACAGAATTAAGGAAGAGGCCTTTGTGAAGTGCATCCATTCCTCAGCCCTTTTCTTTCCTCTCATTTGCCTCCTCTTCACTGTGATCTCTTTTAGTCCAAAGTTAAGGAAAAAATACAACAATAGAGAGTACAAAAATGCACCAGTAAGCTTGGTCAGAAGAAGCAAATTTTTCTTAGTTTTTTCCTATCATATTTTGTTGCTTTGTTGCTTTTTACAGTTCATCTTAGTGGTCTATACAATTAGTACAATCTATGCATGGTACTTTCGTGAATTGCATGTCCAGGTTACTTGATGTATAGTCAAACTTTCCATGTGGCAAACCTTACAGAAAGTTGAAAATGATACCACACTCCATTTTTTCTCATTTAAAAAATCTTTCCTTAAGCCATCACAAAAAAGAGACTTTTCAAGAAATATTAGGCCAAAAAGAAAAAACACCATCAACTCAGTGTAAGTTGAATTGCAACTCTCTAACTTAACAGCTGCCATTTGGACACACTGTAATTATGACTGCCATCTGATGGTGAGGAAACAAATTTGAAAAGTTGTGGGTGTCATGCTAGTGATTCAATTTTTGCTTAATCAGGGCTCACTTTCATTTTCAAAGTCGTCATTCAGTGACCAATAATGGATGCCCAGAAACAAAGTTTCAGTGGCCAGAAAATAAAATTTAAAAACCTGCCAACCACAATGCTTGCCTTGAGCTGTAGAGGTTCATCCAAGATCTCAAGGTTTATTACTCAGTCAACTGAGGGAAAAGAGGCAAATTTTGATTGAAGGGAATGAGAGGACATGAACTTCATTTTCTGAAAATTTTCTTTACACAGTAACTTAGAGGTAAAAAAACATGAAAGCTAACTTACACTGCAAATTTTTTTTTGCAAATTTTGTAGTTTAGAAATACATATGCTTTCACTTTTTAAGTTAGCCACATGAAGCAAGCAACTCTGTTATAACAACTTGTTTTAATTCAGAAAACTATCTCATGGTGGCAAATCTCCTCCAAATTATACTCATGTATTAAGAGACATATTGCTTAATCTAAGGTTGTTGCCAATGGATGGTTTGACTGTATAATGTACATGTATTTTATTTACTGTGAACTTAATTGGTTTATTTTCTTAAAATCTCATTGGCTTTTCCTCAGTGACCTGATTTTCAGCGCTTTTTAATGCTTTTCAAATTACAAAATATC